AATATTTACCTCTTGTTTTGCTATTGAAGGGAGCTCAGATGTTGATTCTGTTTTGTTCCTCTTTTGTTCTTTTCTCCAATACAATCAAAACAAAGTAGGTGTTTGGAAGCTATCTTTGCCAAGGTTTTGCTGAAAACCAGGAATGTTAAATATCACTTTTCTTAGAAATCCTACCAGCACATACCCAACACAGCCTCTGACCATGGCTCTTCATGGAACCTGATGCTAAGGTTTTTTAGCAAATTGCCCATATCCTAACCAAAATTCCTGGGAAATATTTTGATTTAATCTATTTAGCTACACTATTTAGTTATGCCTGTTTTTTTTTTTTTATTTTTTTTTTATTTCACAGGTAGAGTTTACAGACAGTGAGAGAAAGAGAGAGAGAGAGAAAGGTCTTCCTTCCGTTGGTTCACTCTCCAAATGGCCCCAATGGCTGGAGCTACGCCAATCCAAAGCCAGGAGCGAGGAATTTCTTCCTGGTCTCCCATGTGGGTGCAGGGGCCCAAGCATTTGGGCCATCCTCCACTGCTATCCCAGGTCACAACAGAGAGCTGGACTGGAAGAGGAGCAACCAGGACTAGAACCTGGTGCCCATCTGGGATGCCGGCATCGCAGGCAGAGGATTAACTTAGTGCGCCATGGCACCAGCCACCTGGTCGGTTTTGAGTTTTGCCGTTATACCAGACCCATTAGTCAATTTCACTATTCGTAGAGACATAGTTCTTTCCCTAAGATAAACATTTCCTCTTTAGGACAGTGTTGTGCACCATGTTAATCCACTCCCTGTGACAGCAACATCCCATTTGAGTGCTAAGTTCTACTTCCAGTCCAGTGCTCTGCTAATGTGCCTAGGAAAGCAGAAGAAGATGGCCCAAGTGCTTATGCTCCTGCCACCTACTTGGGAGAACCAGATGCAGTTCTCGACTCCTGGCTTTGACCTGGCCCAGCCTTAGCCACTGCAGCCATTTTGGGGAGTGAACGAGTGGATGGAAGATCTCTCCTCTCCTCTTCTCTCCTCTCCTCTCCTCTCCTCTCCTCTCCTCTCTCCTCGCTTCGCCTCGTCTCACCTCTTTTCTCTCTCTTTCTTTCTCTCTTGCTGCCTTTAAAATAAATAAATAAATATTTAAAAGATTTCCTCTTGCTGAGCCAGTGAACTCACATAGTAGCTAATTCTAACAGTATTTTTCCTTACCAAGGTAATATGTAAGATAACCCAATCAAGTAAACCTATATCTATTGCAAATTCTTTTTAAAAATTACTTTATTTGAAAGTCAGAGTTGCCAGCGCCGTGGCTCACTAGGCTAATCCTCCACCTTGCAGTGCTGGCACACCGGGTTCTAGTCCCGGTCAGGGCACCGGATTCTGTCCCAGTTGCCCCTCTTCCAGGCCAGCTCTCTGCTGTGGCCTGGGAGTGCAGTGGAGGATGGCCCAAGTGCTTGGGCCCTGCACCCCATGGGAGACCAGGAGGAAGCACCTGGCTCCTGCCGTCGGATCAGCGCGGTGCGCTGGCCGCAGCGCTCCGGCCATGGCGACCATTGGAGGGTGAACCAACGGCAAAAAGGAAGACCTTTCTCTCTGTCTCTCTCTCTCTCTCACACTGTCCACTCTGCCTGTCAAAACAAAACAAAACAAAAACAAACAAACAAAAAAAAAAGAAAGTCAGAGTTATAGCAAGAGAGGGGGAGACAGAGAGAGAGAGAGAGGGAGAGAGAGAGAAGAGAGATCTTCTACTGGTTCATTCCCCAAATGCCCACAGTGGCAGTGGATGGGCCAGGCTGAAGACAGGAGCCAGGAGTTTAACCTGGGTTCCCCCTTGGGTTTGAGGGCCCAAAGATTTGAGCCATCCTCTGCTGCTTTCCCAGGCACTTTAGCAGAGAGCTGGATTAATAATGGGGCAGCGGGGATTGAACTGGCACCTATGTGGGAGCCCACACTGCAGATGATGGCTTAACCTGCTGCACCACAGCGTCAGCCTCCTATTGCAAATCTGAGAGGATTATGGCAAGAAGGCAATTTAAGAGCTACTTCAATATATCAGGCATGATATAGGAGTGGAAATAGGGATGGAAGGAATATAAGACTTGATGGGTCTTGGCTGATTGGACACGAGAATTGAGGAAACAGTTATTCCAAAAGTCCTTTGGAATTTTGAGAATTACAGCACAACAGTTTCTTGGCATCATTGTCAGAAATTGAGTGAGGTTAGAGATTCAATTTGAGGAGAAAGAGCAAAATATTATGAAGGGACTCGTCATTTGAATGAAAATGTCCAGTAGGCTGCAGAGATATGGGAGAGGATTCAGGAGAGGGGATTATTTGTGATATCAATTTGTGTTTCTGGACATCAGTCAAAACACTGAGGTTTTTGAGGGGAAGAATGTGAGAAGGGAAAAAAGAGATGAGTTATAATGCATTTAATATGTATTTCTTCTCCAAAAATGTCAACCAAAGACCTGCTTAATTCAGCCAATATATATATATATGTGAAATAGCTTTCAGAAGAATAAAATGTTAATTTGTATAGAATAAATTTCTATCTTTAAGCATATAATTCATAAATATTTAGTAACTTTGTTATAATAATAGTAGCTAATATTTACTTAATGCCAACTATTTATTAGGTATATTTTTATGTGTAATTCATTTTTCTTGTATAAACTTTATCACAGGTTGGTGATTTTGTCATTTCTATTTAAGGAAAAAACTGAGGTACGGGCATGTTAAGTATGTTCTCCAGGGTGCTGTTGTGATGTAACTAGGACCTGAACCCAAGTAGTTGGTTCTGAGTTACACTTTTAATCATTATGCTCTGTTGTTATAATATAAAACCACCTAAACATAACAGTCTTTGATGGGCTTTTCCAACAGAGTCCCGATTTCTAAGTAGTCACATGGGTATTCTGTTTTGTGTGAAGAAGGTATGACTGTCTAAGGGCTACATATAAACAGATTTCTATGTGTGTTGTATATGTTTCTCACTGGACTAAAAAAGTATTTTAGAGTCAGAGAGACAGACACAGAGAGGTCCCATCTGCAAGTTCACTTCCCAGAATGCCCACATTGGCTGAGGCTGGACCAGGGCTGGGGTTGGAGCCAAGAGCCAAGAGCCTGGAACTCAATGATTGGCAAGAACCCAACTACATGGTCCATCACCATTGCCTCTCAGGATCTGCATTAGCAGCCAAAGCCAGAGACTGGAATATGGGCACCCTAACTGGGGGCTTAACTGGTAGGCCAAATTTCTACTCCTCTCACTGAATTTTAATGGAACAGTAGATAGTGTCTGGTTTGAAAGGAAATAGGAGGGATCTTCCAAAAGTTCATGGAAAATGCATGTTAATGAAAACACAATATATGGATTTCAAAATTTTTTGTATTAAAACATTTTAATTCTGTTTTCCATTAGCCTTTTGAAGGCTAATGTGTATTAGTGCAGCATAAGTAGTAGAAGAAAGGAAACTGTGGTATAGCAAAATTATCTCCTGTGGTTTACTGCATTCAGCCTAAATGCAGTGCTGATTTTTTGAAATAAGTGCTTGTGTTGTAAGCAAGGTTTGAACAATGTAGCTATGTTTCACACATCCATGAGTGAAGCTACAAGCATTATTCATATTCACTGGTGAGGGGGGGATAAAATTCTCCACCAACACACCAATTTATGTTGTTTTAGGTAATTAGGAAATTAGAGAGTGGTTCGGAGTTTCTCAAGTTAAGCACGTCCCAGGATATTTCTTCTTGGTGTAGACCTGGGCAGGCTCCACATTACAATGTAAACATTCAGTTAACATTAAGGAACATTAGAGAGCCGGCGCCGCGGCTCACTAGGCTAATCCTCTGCCTTGCGGCGCCGGCACACCGGGTTCTAGTCCCGGTTGGGGCACCGGATTCTGTCCCGGTTGCCCCTCTTCCAGGCCAGCTCTCTGCTGTGGCCAGGGAGTGCAGTGGAGGATGGCCCAAGTGCTTGGGCCCTGCACCCCCTGGGAGACTAGGAGGAAGCACCTGGCTACTGCCTTCGGATCAGTGCAGTGCGCCGGCCGTGGCGGCCATTGGAGGGTGAACCAACGGCAAAGGAAGACCTTTCTGTCTCTCTCTCTCTCTCTCACTGTCCACTCTGCATGTAAAAAAAAAAAAAAAGGAACATTAAGTCATTGAATAATAATTTCCAGTAGGTGTCCCGAATTGTGATTAGGTGGTGGAAGGAAACATGCAAGAGGAGAGCACAGGACATTCAAGGCAAGACCTAGAATAAAATTTGAAGAACCGGAGATGACAATGCAGCACACTTGCAGAATGCTAAGAACCAGAGATCAAGAGAAAGCTTATGTTCAAAAGCTGGAAAGTGGCCGGCGCCGCGGCTCACTAGGTTAATCCTCCGCCTAGCGGCGCCGGCACACCGGGTTCTAGTCCCGGTCAGGGCGCTGGATTCTGTCCCGGTTGCCCCTCTTCCAGGCCAGCTCTCTGCTGTGGCCAGGGAGTGCAGTGGAGGATGGCTCAGGTGCTTGGGCCCTGCACCCCATGGGAGACCAGGATAAGTACCTGGCTCCTGCCATCGGATCAGCGTGGTGTGCTGGCTGCAGCACGCTAGCCGTGGCGGCCATTGGAGGGTGAACCAATGGCAAAGGAAGACCTTTCTCTCTGTCTCTCTCTCTCTCACTGTCCACTCTGCCTGTCAAAAAATAAATTAAAAAAAAAAAAAAGCTGGAAAGTGCCAGACAGTTTGAACACATAGGCACTTACACAGAGAAAACTATAGGATAGAAACCAGGTGAATGTGGTTTCATTTCCAAAACATGTTACCTACCTTAAGCCAGGTATTTGCAGTACTGCATTTGCTATCCATTTTATTGTCCTTAAGAGGGTTTGCTTTGCTGTTTTCACACTTAGAATTTGCATGATCATCCAAGTGCTTCTAGGGAATGACATGTATTTGTGGGTTCTTTTCTGTAAGACTTTGAGACAGTGATGCTTCTTGCTTCATTTTGTTTTCTTTGGGCAGGTTGTTTTTCAAGGTCAGATGATTTCAACTCGTGGACAAGATGAAGTCATAGCTATTGATGATATATCTTTCAGTTCAGATTGCTTTCCTGCAGATGGTGAGAACTTTTTAATTCGTTTTGATTCATATCCTGTATTGTAAATACGGCTCAATTTAAACAACTTAATGGCCTTGATCTGCTGTGTATTCTTGCCTGTTGATTTAGTGTGGAATATTTGTTCTAATACGTTACATAATAGTGACTGGGACTATAGTAGAAGCAAAAATAGACTGTTGTTGCTGACTTGGATACTATAAATATCTAAATGAAATAATTTAATAACATATTTAATACCTTATAATGACGTTTATTATGGCTAGTAAAATCTTAACAAGATAATTCTGCACTTTCTAGAAGACTGGTAGAAAACTGGTATCCATGGACTTGAAATTGTGTTCTTAGAGAATTAATTAGATTATTCCATTAAAAAACACAAGATAGAGAGAGGTATTAGTTATAATCTATTTTATATATATATATATTTTTGACAGGCAGAGTGGACAGTGAGAGAGAGAGAGACAGAGAGAAAGGTCTTCCTTTGCCGTTGGTTCACCCTCCAATGGCCGCCGCGGCCGGCGCGCTGTGGCCAGCGCACCGCGCTGATCCGATGGCAGGAGCCAGGAGCCAGGTGCTTTTCCTGGTCTCCCATGGGGTGCAGGGCCCAAGCACCTGGGCCATCCTCCACTGCACTCCCTGGCCACAGCAGAGAGCTGGCCTGGAAGAGGGGAAACCGGGACAGAATCCGGTGCCCCAACCGGGACTAGAACCCGGTGTGCCGGCGCCGCTAGGCAGAGGATTAGCCTAGTGAGCCGCGGCGCTGGCCTATAATCTATTTTATATTTAGACTGAAACAAATACATCAGTGAGGCACATCTCATATTAGATATAAAAAATTATCCATATTTCCCTTTGATTATATTAGCTGAATAATATTCAAATTCCCATTTATATTGTCCTCAATAAAAAATTCAATACTGAAGTTATAATTTGATTGTGATAAATAATTTAATCTAATGTACAAAAGCCATAAATATGCATTTATGAAGGGCTTCAAAAATTTTTCCATGGATTTTTTTGAAACTGACTTATGTATTTCATGAATATTTTTTGCTCCTTTTATAAAATTTGTTATATTATAGCAGAATAAAGGCAGCTAGTCTGTAGAGAAGTGTTTTAAATCCTAATTTGATTAAAAACTATGATAGTTGTGGTAAATAATATTTTTAAGTTGGAAAATATGCGGTGGCCTTGCCAAGAGTGACCGAAAGTTTGATATGGGATGTCTGTGTTGTGCTTGGATTTTTTAAAAAATATTTTATTTATTTGAAAGGTAGAATTACAGAAAGAAAGTGAGGGAGAGACAGAGAGAAAGATCTTCTATCCACTGGTTTATTTCCCAAATGACTTCAACAGCCGGGGCTGGGCAAGGCCAAAGCCAGGAGTCAGGAGTTTCTTCTGGGTCCTCCGTGTAGGTACAAGAGCCCACGCACTTGGACCACCTTCTGCTGCTTTCCAGGCACATTATCAGGGAGTTGGATCAGGAGTGAAGCAGTTGGGACTGGAATCGTCGCCCATATGGAATGCCGGCACTTCAGGTTGGGGCTTAATTGGCTACACCACAACACTTCAGAAACCAAAGCCATTTCCCTAATTACTCATGACCCACATACTGGGAAAAGGCAGATGATTATAATAAATATCCAAGTGACAAATGCCAGATTTTGTAGTGAGCCTTGAAACAGCTCTATAAAACCACTACGGAAGTAAAAAAATTAACTGTGATCTTGATTGAGAAGTTTGACTATTCAAGGAAAAACTGTCAATTAGAAAACATTGAAGTCTAAAATTTCTTTTTTTTTTTAAAGATTTATTTATTTATTTGAAAGTCAGAGTTACACAGAGAGAGAGGAGAGGCAGAGAGAAAGAGAGAGAGAGAGGTCTTCCATGGACTGTAACGGCAGGAGCTGTGCTGATCTGAAGCCAGGAGCCAGGAGCTTCTTCTGAGTCTCCCATGTGGGTGCAGGGGCCTAAGGACTTGGGCCATCTTCTGCTGCTATCCCAGGCCATAGCAGAGAGCTGGACAGGAAGTGGAGCAGCCAGGTCTCGAACCAGTGCCCATATGGGATGCCGGGGCTTCAGGCCAGGGCATTAAGCCACTGCGCCACAGCGCCAGCCCCTGAAGTCTAAAATTTCTGAGGTAATAGTTCTAGATATCACTATAATAAGACAACGTAATGTGTTTAAGGTGGTGTAGAAATGAGGTTTATTAAAATTGAGGCATCAATGCATTTTACGGCTAATGTATTGATCAGGACTTCCACCTGGCTACAAATTTATACAAGATGACACAATTTAGTAATAGAGAAAACCTTGAAACCCAAGACTAAAGTGTTCAATGAATATGCAAAGCAGACTGACATTAAAGATAGATGGCAATAAGGTGTCATGGACCAAGATATTTTACAAAGGAAAAACTGTAACAGTGTAAGAAGTAACAGTGGAGATTGAGAAGAAAAGCAATGTTGATTTTAGGCTTTGTGTTTTATGGGGCTTTGCAAAAAGGATTTCGCAAGGGAAAGCTACAAAGGATATGGTCTTTGTAGGAAGAAGCTAGGATTCAGGGAAGGTTACTAGGTATGTTTTGTGAAGGTGAGGGTGTAGAGTGTGTTTTGCTTTTTAAAATAGGTATTAAAGCCATATTTAAGCTTTTGGGAGGAAAACATAGCTTCATTATGATTAATAACATGGAAAAAACATAAAGTATTATAGGATACAATGGACACCTGGGTGGGTTTGCACTTTGCAAATGGCGGGAGTTTTAGAGAGGTAAAATTGGATAGAGAGATCTTCTATCTGCTGTTTCACTCCTCAAATGACCTTAATGATCAGGGTTGAGCTAGGCTCAACTAGTTGAAGCCAGTAGCCTGGAGCTCTATTGGGATCTCCCATGTGAATGGCAGGGTTGCAAGTATTTGGGTCATCTTCTGCTGACTTCCCAGGTTCATCAGCAGGGGCCTGTATTGGAATCAGAAGAGCAGGGACTTGAACCCTCACTTTAATATGGGATCCCGACATTTCAGATGGTAGCTTAATTCACTGTGCCACAATGCTGGCCCCAGACAAGAATATATTAAGGAAACTATAGATGTACATTCCAAAGTACACAACAAAATCAACAAAATATTGTGAAATGGAATCGAGCAAAATATAAAAAGGTAATATATCAGAGCTATCCAAAGAATGCAAGGCTAGTTTGATATTTGGAAAATAATCAGTGTAATTTACCATGTTAATATACTAAAGAAGAAAAGTGCATGATAATCTCAGTAGATGGAGAAAAGGCATTTGGCAAAATTAACTATAGATTTGTGATTGAAGCCTTCGCAAATCACAAACTCATTTAATCTTATAAAGGATAATGTATAGGAGCTGACGCTATGGAGTAGTGGGTTAAAGCCTCTGCCTGTGGTGCCAGCATCCCATAAAGGCACCAGTTATAGTCCTGGCTGCTCCTCTTTCAGTCCAGCTCTGCTATGACCTGAGAAGGCAGTAGAAATGGGAGACCCATAAGAAGTTCC